TGAACTATAAGCAGACAATAGAATTTAAAAAGGAAAAAATTCATCTTTCTTAAAAGTATCGAACATAAAGTATTAGAAATTAACTCAAAATAAAGAAAATCAAGTTTAGTTGATTAGAAGAGTAACTCAGAGGTCTACAAAGCATAAGATTCCAGGATCATACACAAGATTCTTGTTTCAAAGCTATGAAGAAAAAATTCAAAAAATTATACTGTTTTCTCCTTTTTGTTGAACAAGAATCCTTTTCATCAAAAACTTGTTACTTTATTGGGTGAAATTAATGGTGAAATAGCAAACTAGGAGTAAAAACATTTTAATGCAGACAGTCATGTATCTGGTATCATGGAATGTGAAGGTGCAGTTTAACTCTGCAAGTAAGTTTATTTAACAACCAGCTATCACTGAAAATAGTGGTCCGAACTCTGCTACTGCCCCTGAGCTGCCCCTGCTGCTTAGATGATTGTGCAGGGGCCAATTTAAGAAACTCACAAATTCAATTGACTCCTGAGGATGTACATGAAACAGTGGGAACAGATGTCCTAAGGCTTTTAATGGGAACTAACCATTAATCAATCCAAACATAGTACCATACCACTCACAGAAAACCTTCAATAATTTGTGACAGCAAGAAGATTTTGTCCTTTGAGGACTACTAATATGATGAACTTACAGAGCTCAGGCATTACTCCGCTTAAGAGTGTGCGAGCCTCTTCAATCTTGCCTAATTTGACGAAAATATAAGTAAAGACCCTTTGAATTAAATTCTGATTTAAGGATATCTGTGGTTATTTCAACACCCATTATACCATCCACTTAAAGAAAAGTGAATTTATACTGTGTTGAGTTCACTTTAAGATTACCAAACATACCAATGACAAAAATATCTTACTTTTTTTAGTAAGGTTTTTAATACCCTTTTTACTATGCAACATATCCTACCCATGCAACTATTTATCTTGATACCCCTCCTACCTATGCAACTATTTCATACAAAGCATTGAAGTCCATTTAAATGTTACGGAACAGAAGTAGTGACTAAAAGACTTTTGAAAAGAACTGAGAATTAAATCAAAGTATCCCAAACTACCAATTTCAATGCTATTCTCCACAGTAACATACAGTAATCTGAAAGAATTTTATCTTCTGTTGTAATTTACAAACAATGCCTACACCATATACCCAAAGTTCTTGCTGTAAAACCATATGGTCTCATAGGAAAAGGCACCTTCACTAAAAAGTGCTCAGAAAAATCAGAAAAAAATTATCAGAAAAAGTTGCTGATAGGATTTTTTTTCCTGTTAGTAAAGCATGTTTTAACTATTTAACAAACTACAGTAATACTCAACAAGAGTAAAAACAAAGTTTTCAGTGCAAGTCGTGCTCAGCCAAGTGTACACAGTATAACCTCCATATCCTCCCTGTTCTACCCCCAGCCCTTACCCTGCAGGCAGGGTTAATAAGATGTATCCCACTTTTGTAAGTAGAACGTCACGTTATCGTAATGTGGATAATAAAGTCTGAAACCACTGCAATAAAATTTTAGTGACTAAACTGACTTAGCAGACAATATACAACTACTTAACACACCAGCACTCAAGCTCCACAAGGCAAGAAAGGGATACATTGCAGTTGCAGTGTATGCAAAGCAAAAAGGAGGCATAGCTCATCTTCCACGAAGAAGTTAAAACAGATCAACAGGGTAAAATACACAGACAAATCAATGGATGAACAAAGCACTTTAAAAAAAAAAAAGCTGTCATCTTTGAGACGTGAGGTGACTCAAAGCAAGATGCGAAATGTTTTTATTGGGGCACATACATACATACATATATATATATAAACTGTTGTAACAGCCTTCTCTAACATAATACAACATGCAGGATAACTTACCTATTAGAGTTTTAAGTCACTGCCCCATCTTAGGCAGGAGATGTTATTCCAATTCTTTACTCTGAAGATACCAACGAATAAACTCTTAAATCTGATAATCAAATAGTACATGAAAATGCCACACACAAAGATTCAAAAACACAGGCATGCAAACAGTTTTTCCTCAATATACATACATAAGTATAGGCACTAAGAAAATAAAGAATTAAACTAAGAAATAAAGTTTGCACCGTATATATTCACCAAGTCCGAAGAGCAGCTGAATTAACTCTGAATAAGCGTAACATCTGAAACTCCAGGCACAGAAATAACTAGTACACAGCTCCATACTGAGCTTTTCCTTGGTGCATTTCGAATGTATCCCTTCCATAAGGGGATAAGCATGTTTTTTTTGTGGTATGTAGACAACCATACACAGTCCTGTTAGCTAAGTCATCCCAGGATACTGAAATCCATGTGTTCTGCAAGTTCTGTATGTCCTAATGTTCACCCCCACCTCCAAGAAATTACGTAGCTCTTAACACTATAACCACTGTAACTGCTGGTATGAAGACAGCGTGAACAGACTGGAATTCAAAGAAGTGGTAAAGTATCTAGTTTGATACATATGAAAATTACTCTTCTCAGTTGCAGAAAGGAGGAAACTGTTTATCATCATAGAAAATGTATTTGTAAAAACCACAGATAAATCAGCATTTATGAGTATGTTTAGGAAAAAAAAAAGCCTTCTGCTACTGTTGTCACTATTTTGTGGAGACTTAACA